TGAAAAAGGCTTCCTGAAGAGCCTTTGTAGTGTATAAGACTTTAGGTGGAATCCTCATCCCCATCCAGAATCCTCTGAAGTAGAAATTCCCGCTGGAAAAGACCAGCAAATCAGCCTGGAGCAGCTAGAGGAACACAAGATACTTCTTGAAAGAAAGACCAGCAAATCAGCCTGGAGCAGCTAGAGGAACACAAGATACTTCTTGAAAGAAAGACCAGCAAGAAAAATCTAAAACAAATACAGCAGTATGATTGGCTACCACAAGAACAAGCAAGTTGTTTGCCAGGAAGCCATCAAGGCAATCAAGTCCCTTAAGAACAAACCCCCTTCCAAGACTGAAACTCAAAGGGAGTACACAAGCAGGCATGTAAGCTTGCTGGCAACCACATTGGTCTACTGGTGAGTGAAAGTGGGCAAAAAGCAGCAATGAAGATGTGGGCTGAGTCTGACCATGTTACATAGACTCCTGTTGACCTGGAGTATGGTGAGACCTGGTTGGCCTGAATTATGGTGAGACCTGAGCACTCCTGAGCCCATGGGCAAGAACATAGCCACAGAGGGCTAGAGCTGAGAGTGAAGGGTCCAGCTGATATGAAGTGAGGGGAGATGCACAAGAATGCCCACACTTGCAGATAGTACCCATTTGACCTAGCTTCAATGGCTGGATGATCAGAACTTAACTAGAGGAAGCTAAAAAAAATTTTTTTGATAAAACAAGTGTAAATTGCTACAATTTGATAAACTTGACCTATACTTGTAGATATTGTTGTTGTTAAGTGCTGTCAAGTTGATTCCAACCCATAGCAACCCTGTATAGGGTTTCCAATGAGCAGCTAGTGAACTTGAACAACTGACCTTGCAGTTCAAACAAATTTGCAGTCTGACACATTAGTGCCACACCAGAACTCCACTTATGGATGTAGTGTCTTAAAATACCAATCAAGAAGGAAGTAATTGTCACAGCAAGGATCATTCCCATCCCCTCTATACACAGGGTTGATAGGAATGGGCAACTTAGACATTGGCTATCTAAAAGATGGAGGAGTGGCTATAGAGGCACAAAGTGACTGGCTTACAAACTTTCAAGAGTGAGTTTAGTTTCAGTGCGTGGGGGTGGGGGATTAAAGAATCCCCACTCAGTGCTTTTCATCGTGTTTAGACGGGTCTGGTCAAAGGAGATGGGGATAAGATTCTTATGATTCAATAGTAATTGTTAATCATGACTAATTGTGATTATTGCAACTGTAAAGGTGGAAGTTTTGTACCAAAAAAGTGGGGAGTGGTTG